GACCTTCGCATGTTTCTGTCAGGTGTCATTTAGGCCACATTGAAATTTGGGGAAGGATCAAGGAGAGACTAAACAAAGCATTGACTTCACCATGGGCACTTCCTACTAGCATATAATTAGCATGAAATAATGTATCTAATATATGGAACGCCACCATAAAAAAGAAAGGAGAAGGAACAGGGCCAACTCAGGGCATATTTTATTTCAAAAATAAGAGAAATTTGAAATAAGTTCCCCAAGACTTGTAAATAGCTTTCATCTAACCTATTTGGCATTGATTTATTTGCATTTATTTACCATATTTTTATTACTCTGTGACCCATATTAAACCAATTGAGATTGTTGTTGGAAAAGGGAGACCTGATAATTTAGATGGCCACAAATATTATCTCCCTAATGTAATACAGTGACCCTTAAACAATACAGGTTTGAACTACTCAGGTCCACTTTTATGCATGTTGTTTTCAATAAACACAGTCAACCCTTGATATTCCTGGGTTTTATATCCCCAGAGTCAACTAACCACATATCAAAAACAATAGTTTTGATCTGCAGTTGGGAATTTTCGGATATAGAGGACCGACTTTATGCATTGTTCTAAGCCATCTCTATATATAAAATCCTAATATGCAAATAGACCGAATGGCAGAACAACCAACTGGTCACTATGATGTGTGCTGACCACCAGGGCGCGTGCGCGGAACATGGTGGGCATCAGCCGTGGCAGGATGGTGGAGCAGGTGAAAGGGCGCCAGACCAAGGCGGGGTGCCAGTCGCTGTCATAGGGGCAAGCCTCTGGTGGTTACTGAAAATTCTTTGCTCCTGTGCACCTCAGCCCTGCCCAGCTCTCACACTTGATGTCAGCACCTGGTGCTGGCCCCAAACACTCAGCACCATCAGCTGGTGCAAGCAGTGGCTGCCGGCCCCGACTGCCCCTCAGGGCTTCTCCACCTCCCCCTGCTCCTGAGGGGCAATCGGGCAGCAGTCACAGCTTGCACCTGCTGACGGCAAGTGCCAGCCCTAATCACTCCACGCTGTCAGCACGTGGGAGCAGCAGCAGTGGGAGCAGGGCTGCCGGTAGAGAGGGGACCAGGGGCTGCAGCTGGAGGGGCCAGGCGGGGGTGGGCTGAGTAGTTCAAATCTGTATTGTTTAAGAGGATGGGCCAAAATCCGCCCCTGTGCCCACCCCAGTCTCACAGCCCACAGTTCCTTTCAAGGTGCATGAATTCAAGCACTGGGCCCCTACTTTTATATAAGGGACTTTAGCATCCATAGATTTTGGTCTCCAATGGAAGTTCTGAAACTAATAGTCTTTGAGTACTGAAGGGATGACTAAAGTTTTGGGGGAGTCAAAAGTTATAGATGGGTTTTCAACTGCATGTGGGGTTGGTACCTTGAGCCCTCATGTTGTTCAAGGATCAAGTGTATTTTTAGTACTAGCTAATTTGAAGGGTCCTTATTAAGATTGTAGTTATAATCTCTTTACCTCTTATAAATGTATTTAGCTGCAAGTAACAAAGTATTAAACTGTAAAATCTTAACAAATTGGCATCGCTTTACACACACACACACACACACACACACAAATGAAAAGGCAGCCTACTTCATCTTTTCTCTTCTAGTCACAAGGTGGCTGCACAGCTCGAGGCACCACATCTGCATTCAAACTAGGAAAAGAGGTAAAAAGTGGTGCCAACCATGTCTGTTCTTTTTTAAAAAGAAAGGGGAAATCTTTTCCAGAACAATCTTAACAGACTTCTTCGATTCCTTTGGCAGAGCTGAGTATCCTGGGAAATGCGTGGCATGATTGGCTTTGACTGACCACCGTCTATATCAGATCCAGGGTGGCAAAATACATTGCCATTCTGAACAAATAGATTGCTGTTCTGTTAGGAAGGAAGGAGAATGGATGTTGCATGAGAATTAACACTGTCTGTCCTACTTCCATAAATACAGATCAATGGCTCTTGCTTGTTGCCAACATACGCAACCTGGTACGTGGGCTTCCATCTTCAGACCCAAAGTGCTTGTCGCACTGACCGTAGTCAAGTATGTCATCTTGCTATGGAAAGAAGCACACTTCCTACTGATTTCCACAGAATTCCTAAATCTGTCATCAGAACTGATGTCACAGGACAGTAGTACTTAACTGAAGTACAAATAAAATATTTTTGTTTTGCTGCCATCATTTGAAAGGGACCTCATGTGGGCCTCTCTAGGTGTTCAGGCTCCATCTTCTCCATATTTGCTCTCTAAGGCAAAGAGGAGCAGGTTGTTTGGGTGATGTAAGGTTCCCCATGGTTATTAATTGAGTTGACAGAGCTTAATGGAAAGTCCACAGACCCTGGCATAAGACAGACCTGGGCTTGTATCCAAGGTTCTTCTCTTACTTGCTGCCTGATTGTTGGTAGGTTTCTTACTCTCCTTCTGCCTCATTTTTCTCACCTGTCCATAAGCACAACCATCCCTAACTCACGAGCACCCATTAGGATGGAATTAGTTATGTAGACGAATGCTGGACACACCCCGGTGTGCCTCTATTGTTCGCTCTTAAAAGTGTAGCCTATCATGGCATCCAACCCAGTGCTAAGGAGAAGCAGTGTCCCACTTAGGATCTCAGTGTTGGTCTTCAATCTTGTCCTTGACTATGTGAAGAAAATAGTTTATTGCCTACATTACAAAAGCTCTTCTTTTTTACTGAGATAAAGAATTGATTCAAAACCTTCCAAGTTTTAATTTACAGTCCTAGAAAGGAGAAAACAGACTTGACAGTTTATGGAGTTTGGAGGCCCATGACAACAGATATCTGAGTTGCTGGGGATGAGGGAGGGAACTGAGTTACTGTGAGGGAGAAGGGGGGCAGGTTCTGAGGTTGCAGTGTTCTTCAATGCTTGCTTAAGATTTTTTTGCAGACATCTTCAAGTCTCATTAAAGTAGTTGATCTACCTCTTTTATATCCTCCTTCTTTCGAGCTTATTGTATATTTAATCTAACTTATCAGTTTTACCATTATTTCATGGATATTTTCTGCTTTCTCAACTATAAACATAGAATAATAACATTTTTTTCAGTAAAATTATGTGGGGATTAAACGAGATAATGTAGATGAAAGTGCCTCACACAATATTTGACTCATTTTTGGTCCTTCAGCCATATATGCAGTGTGTGTGTGTGCATGTGTGTGTATGTGTGTGTATTTTCTGACCACCTACTCATCAGAACTTTACAAGGTAATTTTCATCATTGTTTGAATAATTTGGTGATTTATATAAATTTCTAAGTTTCTCCATTTTATTCATTACAGTCTTTTGGAAATCTTCCCAAGGGATATAAGGTACTAACAGATGCTCTGCCTACACTGAATAAACATCTCCAAACCATTGCACGTATATTAAAAATCTTTTTTCATTTATCTGTAAGGTGTGTCTACAATAAAGACTGCTACAGTTCAATCAATGGGGAATAGACTTGATGTGACTTTTGTCTAGAAATATCCCCTAAGAACAGCAAAAGCCATTTCTCTAAAAGAAAGTTTTGGTGAAGCAAATTGCAGGGCAGAACTGATTCTCATATTTAAAAACTAATACCCTGCATGCACCAGTAATCCCTTCCCAAACATTCATTTTCTGATGAGTAGACACAGCCTTAATGGCAAGTTAAAACTGTATTTGAGAGATTGTTTTTGAAAATTGGAGACACATTAGGTATGAATCTCATTTATGTAGAACTAGAAAGAGCAGCTATATACTACTTACACAGCATTAGAACAAAATCCTTATTATAAATAAAATAAAAAGTCAGACATAGTGTTTTAGAGCTAAATTGATTATGCTGATTTGGATACCTTTTCTTTCCTGTTCCAAAAACTATTTAAGTAATAAAGTTTTAATTGCTATCTGTGCCAATTAAAGAGTTCTTGGGAAAGTGTTGGCAAGCAAATACTAAATGACTCAAACCTGTATATAAAATGAACACATGCTAAAATAGTATGATAGATGCTGCATAAAGATAAGCACACTGGAGCCTTCCCGCAGAAGAAAGGGAAAAAAAACTAGTCCTCCTAGCATTGCCATTTTTTCTGCAACAAGGGAAAAGGCAGCGTTAGCAAACAAAAATTGCTTTTCACTTTGCCAACAAGATAAATAGAATGAAATTTCAAGGCGAATAACTGCAAGATGTACATGATTGATGCTACATTTACAAAAATTTCAAAGATATGGGTACAGTTTGTCATGAAAATGACGTTGAAATCTCTGTGTTTTGTCAGAAAAATTATGCACAAAAAAAAAAAATGCCAATTTTTCTCCTCCAGCTCTTGTCCTTGCCTGTTCTAGAAATTGTTTGCTTTTTGGAGAAGAAAAAAAGAGAGGAATATTTTTGCTTCTAAATCTTTTATTTTGCTAATCACAGGAATGTGTGGCAGACGTGTTTCGGGTGGGAGCTTTCATGAAGATAATGGGCTACATCTGCTCCTCCCAGCCTCAGAGGAGGACCAAAGGAGGAAACATAGACGAAAGTCCTTTGTAAACTTCAAAATGCCCCCAAAATGTTAATTTTCCTTATTAGCTAAATGCTAAGTTAGATACATTTAAATACTGTTTGTGGGAAAGTGAGATTCTAAAATTTGACTCAAAGAGAAATTAGATATCCTTAAAAGTGAGGATGGAAGAGGCCCTGGCCAGTGTGGATCAGTTGGTTGGAGCATCATCCCATAAAACAAAAGGTGGCAGGTTTGATTTCCGGTTAGGGTACATACCCAGGTCGTGGGTTCAATTTCCGGTTGAGACAGATGTGGGAGTCAGCTGGTCTATGTTTCTCTCTCACATCCAGGTTTCTCTCTCTCCCCCTTTCTTCCTAAAAAAAAAAATCAATAAAATTGTTTTAAAAAATGGGGATAGAAGATAAGAAAAAACAGAATGTGATATTACTAAGATTTATAGATCAGGCCTACACTTAGTCCTTATCTTTTATAACAATAACAAGTAACATTTTTTTCACAGATCAGAAGAGCAAAGACTCTTGTTTGTGTGAATCTTCTCTGAATGCCCAGCCCTTAAAACATAGGAGATGTAAAGTACGAGAAATATGCACCTATCTATTGAATGAATGAATGTTCACTAATAAACCAGATCTGCAAAGGGCTCAGGGTTTTGTTTTATTTTTTCACTTGCAATAGATTATTTAATCCATGTACTAAGCATATGAAATAGGCTTCATCCTCAATTTTTGATAAGAAAACTGAAACTTGGAAAGGTACTTGCTATGGGGCAGGTACTATTAAGTATTTCATAATGTAGATGAAAGTGCCTCACACAATATTTGACTCATTTTTGGTCCTTCAGCTATCTATGCAGTGTGTGTGTGTGCATGTGTGTGTATGTGTGTGTATATTTTCTGACCACCTACTCATCAGAACTTTACAAGGTAATTTTCATCATTGTTTGAATAATTTGGTGATTTATATAAATTTCTAAGTTTCTCCATTTTATTCATTACAGTCTTTTGGAAATCTTCCCAAGGGATATAAGGTACTAACAGATGCTCTGCCTACACTGAATAAACATCTCCAAACCATTGCACGTATATTAAAAATCTTTTTTCATTTATCTGTAAGGTGTGTCTACAATAAAGACTGCTACAGTTCAATCAATGGGGAATAGACTTGATGTGACTTTTGTCTAGAAATATCCCCTAAGAACAGCAAAAGCCATTTCTCTAAAAGAAAGTTTTGGTGAAGCAAATTGCAGGGCAGAACTGATTCTCATATTTAAAAACTAATACCCTGCATGCACCAGTAATCCCTTCCCAAACATTCATTTTCTGATGAGTAGACACAGCCTTAATGGCAAGTTAAAACTGTATTTGAGAGATTGTTTTTGAAAATTGGAGACACATTAGGTATGAATCTCATTTATGTAGAACTAGAAAGAGCAGCTATATACTACTTACACAGCATTAGAACAAAATCCTTATTATAAATAAAATAAAAAGTCAGACATAGTGTTTTAGAGCTAAATTGATTATGCTGATTTGGATACCTTTTCTTTCCTGTTCCAAAAACTATTTAAGTAATAAAGTTTTAATTGCTATCTGTGCCAATTAAAGAGTTCTTGGGAAAGTGTTGGCAAGCAAATACTAAATGACTCAAACCTGTATATAAAATGAACACATGCTAAAATAGTATGATAGATGCTGCATAAAGATAAGCACACTGGAGCCTTCCCGCAGAAGAAAGGGAAAAAAAACTAGTCCTCCTAGCATTGCCATTTTTTCTGCAACAAGGGAAAAGGCAGCGTTAGCAAACAAAAATTGCTTTTCACTTTGCCAACAAGATAAATAGAATGAAATTTCAAGGCGAATAACTGCAAGATGTACATGATTGATGCTACATTTACAAAAATTTCAAAGATATGGGTACAGTTTGTCATGAAAATGACGTTGAAATCTCTGTGTTTTGTCAGAAAAATTATGCACAAAAAAAAAAAATGCCAATTTTTCTCCTCCAGCTCTTGTCCTTGCCTGTTCTAGAAATTGTTTGCTTTTTGGAGAAGAAAAAAAGAGAGGAATATTTTTGCTTCTAAATCTTTTATTTTGCTAATCACAGGAATGTGTGGCAGACGTGTTTCGGGTGGGAGCTTTCATGAAGATAATGGGCTACATCTGCTCCTCCCAGCCTCAGAGGAGGACCAAAGGAGGAAACATAGACGAAAGTCCTTTGTAAACTTCAAAATGCCCCCAAAATGTTAATTTTCCTTATTAGCTAAATGCTAAGTTAGATACATTTAAATACTGTTTGTGGGAAAGTGAGATTCTAAAATTTGACTCAAAGAGAAATTAGATATCCTTAAAAGTGAGGATGGAAGAGGCCCTGGCCAGTGTGGATCAGTTGGTTGGAGCATCATCCCATAAAACAAAAGGTGGCAGGTTTGATTTCCGGTTAGGGTACATACCCAGGTCGTGGGTTCAATTTCCGGTTGAGACAGATGTGGGAGTCAGCTGGTCTATGTTTCTCTCTCACATCCAGGTTTCTCTCTCTCCCCCTTTCTTCCTAAAAAAAAAAATCAATAAAATTGTTTTAAAAAATGGGGATAGAAGATAAGAAAAAACAGAATGTGATATTACTAAGATTTATAGATCAGGCCTACACTTAGTCCTTATCTTTTATAACAATAACAAGTAACATTTTTTTCACAGATCAGAAGAGCAAAGACTCTTGTTTGTGTGAATCTTCTCTGAATGCCCAGCCCTTAAAACATAGGAGATGTAAAGTACGAGAAATATGCACCTATCTATTGAATGAATGAATGTTCACTAATAAACCAGATCTGCAAAGGGATCAGGGTTTTGTTTTATTTTTTCACTTGCAATAGATTATTTAATCCATGTACTAAGCATATGAAATAGGCTTCATCCTCAATTTTTGATAAGAAAACTGAAACTTGGAAAGGTACTTGCTATGGGGCAGGTACTATTATAAGTATTTCACCTAATTCTATTATTGATCTTCACTGAAATCCTGTTGGGTGAGCTCCATTGTCCCCATTTAAAGATAAGAAAACTGACACAGGAAGAAGTAAAAGTACTTGCTCAACTAAGGGGTCCTACTCAGCAGGATTCTAATCCTGGCGGTCTGACCCCAGAGACCTTGTTCCTACTGTTAAGATTATCTTGCCTTCCCCGCTGAGAAAACACAGTAAGAATGTGTTAAAGACAAGATTTTGTATCCAACTCTGTTTGAGGCCAAAGCCTCACCTCTTTCCAATCCTTCTTTCAAAAAGTTGCCAAAACAGAGGTTGAAGCATAAAAGAATTGGGAAGTCTTGGTAAGAACAAAATGAAGCTGATCAACTCTGTTTGGGGGTCAGTTCTGCCAAAGGTGTAAGGAACTAAAGCAGAAGACTTCTCTCACCTGAAGGAAGCTTAGCAGACCCGGGAGGCAGTCTGAATTTCATCACATCGAACTCTCCAATGCAACTGAACCAGGATTCAGCTCGTTGAATGAGAGACGCAAGTAAAAGAGTGAAAAAAAAATGCTATTCAACTCAAGATTTATGTCAACGTAAGCTAGATGTACGAAGTTAGAAAACACCTGTGCTAGAACTAGAAAGAGCAGCTATATACCACTTACACAGCATTAGAACAAAATCCTTATTATAAATAAAATAAAAAGTCAGACATAGTGTTTTAGAGCTAAATTGATTATGCTGATTTGGATACCTTTTCTTTCCTGTTCCAAAAACTATTTAAGTAATAAAGTTTTAATTGCTATCTGTGCCAATTAAAGAGTTCTTGGGAAAGTGTTGGCAAGCAAATACTAAATGACTCAAACCTGTATATAAAATGAACACATGCTAAAATAGTATGATAGATGCTGCATAAAGATAAGCACACAGGAGCCTTCCCGCAGAAGAAAGGGAAGAAAAAAAAACTAGTCCTCCTAGCATTGCCATTTTTTCTGCAACAAGGGAAAAGGCAGCGTTAGCAAACAAAAATTGCTTTTCACTTTGCCAACAAGATAAATAGAATGAAATTTCAAGGCAAATAACTGCAAGATGTACATGATTGATGCTACATTTACAAAAATTTCAAAGATATGGGTACAGTTTGTCATGAAAATGACGTTGAAATCTCTCTCTTTCCAATCCTTCTTTCAAAAAGTTGCCAAAACAGAGGTTGAAGCATAAAATAATTGGGAAGTCTTGGTAAGAAATAAAATGAAGCTGATAAACTCTGTTTTGGGGTCAGTTCTGCCAAAGGTGTAAGGAACTAAAGCGAAAAAAAAAAATGCCAATTTTTCTCCTCCAGCTCTTGTCCTTGCCTGTTCTAGAAATTGTTTGCTTTTTGGAGAAGAAAAAAAGAGAGGAATATTTTTGCTTCTAAATCTTTTATTTTGCTAATCACAGGAATGTGTGGCAGACGTGTTTCGGGTGGGAGCTTTCATGAAGATAATGGGCTACATCTGCTCCTCCCAGCCTCAGAGGAGGACCAAAGGAGGAAACATAGACGAAAGTCCTTTGTAAACTTCAAAATGCCCCCAAAATGTTAATTTTCCTTATTAGCTAAATGCTAAGTTAGATACATTTAAATACTGTTTGTGGGAAAGTGAGATTCTAAAATTTGACTCAAAGAGAAATTAGATATCCTTAAAAGTGAGGATGGAAGAGGCCCTGGCCAGTGTGGATCAGTTGGTTGGAGCATCATCATAAAACAAACAAAAGGTGGCAGGTTTGATTTCCGGTTAGGGTACATACCCAGGTCGTGGGTTCAATTTCCGGTTGAGACAGATGTGGGAGTCAGCTGGTCTATGTTTCTCTCTCACATCCAGGTTTCTCTCTCTCCCCCTTTCTTCCTAAAAAAAAAAATCAATAAAATTGTTTTAAAAAATGGGGATAGAAGATAAGAAAAAACAGAATGTGATATTACTAAGATTTATAGATCAGGCCTACACTTAGTCCTTATCTTTTATAACAATAACAAGTAACATTTTTTTCACAGATCAGAAGAGCAAAGACTCTTGTTTGTGTGAATCTTCTCTGAATGCCCAGCCCTTAAAACATAGGAGATGTAAAGTACGAGAAATATGCACCTATCTATTGAATGAATGAATGTTCACTAATAAACCAGATCTGCAAAGGGATCAGGGTTTTGTTTTATTTTTTCACTTGCAATAGATTATTTAATCCATGTACTAAGCATATGAAATAGGCTTCATCCTCAATTTTTGATAAGAAAACTGAAACTTGGAAAGGTACTTGCTATGGGGCAGGTACTATTATAAGTATTTCACCTAATTCTATTATTGATCTTCACTGAAATCCTGTTGGGTGAGCTCCATTGTCCCCATTTAAAGATAAGAAAACTGACACAGGAAGAAGTAAAAGTACTTGCTCAACTAAGGGGTCCTACTCAGCAGGATTCTAATCCTGGCGGTCTGACCCCAGAGACCTTGCTCCTACTGTTAAGATTATCTTGCCTTCCCCACTGAGAAAACACAGTAAGAATGTGATAAAGACAAGATTTTGTATCCAACTCTGAGGCCAAAGCCTCACCTCTTTCCAATCCTTCTTAAAAGTTGCCGCCAAAACAGAGGTTGAAGCATAAAATAATTGGGAAGTCTTGGTAAGAAATAAAATGAAGCTGATAAACTCTGTTTTGGGGTCAGTTCTGCCAAAGGTGTAAGGAACTAAAGCAGAAGACTTCTCTCACCTGAAGGAAGCTTAGCAGACCCGGGAGGCAGTCTGAATTTCATCACATCGAACTCTCCAATGCAATTGAACCAGGATTCAGCTCCTTGAATGAGAGACGCAAGTAAAATAGAGAAAAAAAATGCTATTCAACTCAAGGTTTATGTCAACGTAAGCTAGATGTACGAAGTTAGAAAACACCTGTGTTAGAGAGAGTGGCAGTAGTAGGAAAGTACATATGCCAAGTCTGGTTTGGTGGGAAGAAGCATGTGATGTTCAATCCTGTTTCATTTGAAAGCTCTTCAGAATATCAACTGTAATCTTCCATTGGACCGTATTGTCAGCTTCTAATATTTTTTAAATCAAAACAGACTGCTTTAGAGTAAAGCTCATTAAAAATTCAATCACTTTGTTTTTGAATCCGATAAAAGGCCCCTTTTAAAGAGCCAAGGAATCATAACAATGAAAAAGATTTCAGAAACACATTTAATCTAAACCTATGTTTTTAAACCCTGTTTCCTGTTAATATTTTTGAACTGGCTTAACCATGAACCCCTTCAATCAACTAGAATCAACTGAATATACGTTGTATGACAATAACATGTATTGAACAGTGCTCTGTGTCATGTGCGGTGCTAAATTTAACTTGGATCATCTCATTTAATCCACACAATTACCCTTAGAAAGGGTGCTCTTATTATTACCATTTCACAGATAAAGAGATATAAAGAGGTTAAGAGACTACCCAAAAGCACAGAGGACATAAGTGGTCAGGCCAAGATTTCAAATGGGTATCTATAAACCCGGAGCCCACAAAGCTAATCCCCGAGCCACAGAGAAACTACTATACCTGGTGCTACATTAATTTATAAAATTCTGTTATTTGGAAATAATATTAAATTTACAGAAAAGTTAAAAGAATAATGTCCATCCTTATATTATGACCCCCTTTGTTAGCACTTTCTTACCTTGTGGCATAATCAGATGTCCTCAATTCATCTTGTATTTACTTTGCCCCAGCCGTGGAATCAGCCATTTCTTCGAGGAATCCTAATTCCTTTTTATAGAAAATAATATTCGAGACCAAGATGCTTTATTTTTACTATTTTATCATCCCTTAAGGTACAATTTCTAAAAAATGTTAGAGCTATCAGGAGTTTTAATTAGACTATGAACTCTTTCTTGTGTGTGGGGGGGATTTTAGTGGGGTCTTGAAGGAGTCATAGAAGGATAAGGGAAGAGGAAGGATGGAGATGGGAAAGTAATGAAGAGTTTTCTGAGTCCCATTCATAAATTTTCAAGTGGGAAATCCTCAACCCAGAACATCAAGAAATTGTTTTTTTAGAACTCTTTGGCTAAATGAATTATCAATAAATTTCATCTGCTTTTGTTCTGTAATTTGTATTATCATTCCCCAAAGTTTGATTAGCAGAAACTAGTTCCATAAGATCTTCTTTTTAAAAGGCACTGTGGTCACATAAGTTTAGGTAATGATTCTTAACAAGCTCCCTACATAGATGAATGGCCCACATTAGCAAGTTAAAAGCTCAGTTCAGTCCTGCATAGAAGCCAAGTGGTTACTTATACCCCAGTATTGCCACATTTACTAGAATCCCCTCGGTAACACCTGTGATCATGACTCAGAGCATTATTTGAAATGTAAATATGTATATTTGAAGAGGATATTTAAGGCCTGTCCTCTTCTGTCCCTTTTGCCTCCAAGGCCCTCTGAGCATCTTTTTATTGTAGCTCTTAACTAAATTATTTTTCAACCAGTTATTTGCTTATCAAACAGTTCCATTTGAAAGAAAGGTCCTAAAGGACAGAAATTTGTTGTTCTCAAATTCATGTTTCTGCTACAGTATCTAGTACTTAACAGGCTTTCCAAAAAGATGCTTAATTGAAGCACTGAATTGCCTGAGTATCAGATTCACTTGAAATTTTATCTTAGCTCAGAAATTGTTCTTCCCTCGCTTCTATACCCATCCAATAAATTGTTTTAAATTAATTTTATCCTGGAACTGTAACAATTGCTCTCCTTCATCCTTCAAAAATAGTTGCCCAATTGAAAAAGAAAGCAAAACAACCAGTGAGTGTTGAGCATTCATTTAACAATGGCACAAAGGAGTTTTAAGTGATGAGTGGCCTCCACCTCCATAGCCCATGACTAAATCAAACCCAGTATGCAGAGCAATTTGTTCATCATCTCACAGTCCTTGCACACTCTTCAGGATGCTAACGTTTCAGTGGGGAATAAGACAAACAAAATCCCTTCTGTCGTGAAGCTAATATTCTAGTGGATAAAAACGAATGAAAAAAGAAGTGAGCAGATAAACAAGAAACTACCTCAGAACCCTAAGCATTCGAAGACAATAAAACAACAGAATATGACAGAGGGTAAAGCAAGTGAGGCTAAACTTTCAAGGAGGAGGCGCATCCAACCTTACAACAATTTGGAACTGAGAATCTTAGAATAAGGGACCAGCAAGTGCAAAGGCCTTGAGGCAGAAAGCAGCCAAGAGGGAAATGGCCCCGTGACAACCGCCATAGGCATCATATGACCTTCGGCTGCTGCGGCACGAGACTATTCTTAGCAGCATCTTGTGAGGGAGGGATGGGAAGAGGGAGTAAATAACACAGTTCTGAGAGCTGTGAACAACAATAAGTAAAGGAGGCAAGGTTTTAAAGTTGAGAGATGGATGATAATATACAGAACCTAAGTGGGCAACACAGTGGGGAGAATCATGAGGCTCTCGTACCTTCCGTCTCCTTGCTTCCTCTGGCTTTGTTTCTTCGTCCTCTGGCATCATTGTCTTGCCTCCTGTGCTTGTCTCCCCAGCCCGTCAGCTGATCTCTCTCTCTCTCCTTTTCTATTTTTGCTCTCCCTCCTCTCCTTTTGCCTTTGCTCACTCTTCCTGTGTGTCATTGCTTGCCCTTCAGCTTGCCTTTCTCTTGTATATTCATTTATTTGACAAAACTTCACCAAATCACTGCTGTAGCCCGGCACTCCTCTGAGTTCCTGAAGAAGATACAAAGATGAATTAGCTCTAGTGCTCCCTGCCCTCAAGGAACTTTTTGGGCTTCTAGGGGAGACTGATGAGCACATTATTACAATGCCGCCTGCGCTATAGAAAGGTATATATAAATCCCTAGATGGCCCTTCACTGCCATACCCCTTCCTCTCTCTGCCTTAAGCAATTACAATATAGCAAAAGTCTCATGACATTCTCGCTTTTAGCTCTCTGCCCTAAAATCTATTTCACAGGCTGCCTTAAAATTAATCTCCCTGAAACACTGTTCTTCTGAATTTTGGAATAAGTAAGAAATAGGTTCAAAGTAGGCCCCCCCAAATAAAAACTAAATGCAATGTGGAATCCTGAATAAGATCCTGGAACATAAAAAGAACACCAGCTTAGAAACTGATAAAAGTCAAAGAGGTCCACAAGTTAGTTACTAATACTGTATCAATGTTAATTTCCTAGTTGATCACTGTACTATGATAATGTAAGACGTTAACATTAGAAGAAGCAAGATGAGCGGTCTGTTGGACCTCTCTGTATGATATTTGCAACTTTTCTGTAAGCCCAATATTCATTTAAAATATTAGTTAATATCAGTTAACTAACACTAGTGAACATTCGTTTGTTTGTTCTGTTTAAAAGAAAGAATACACATCATTGACAATGTTCAGGGACAGAAAAGAAATAGAGTCTTTCTAGCAGCATTGTTCTTAATAGCAAGACAAAAACAAAAACCCACAAAACAACCTAAATGTCAAACAGAAAAATGTCAACCAAAAATATATGTTTACACTTGAATTCAGTATGGTAGTGAAAACGAGTGAACTGCACCTACACCCATCAGCATAGATGGATCGCGTAGACATATATAGAACAAAAGAAGCAAACCATCACAGAATATAAGTAGCTTGAGACCATTTGTCAAAAATCTGAGAGCCCACAAAATTAAGTAAAATACTGCTTACAGACACATGCATGGGTGGGTGCACACATGTATTTGTCTCACTGTAATTCTTAAATTGTAGATATATATTTTATTATCCTTCTGAATGGCCTTTGTGCCTAACAATGTTAAGTAAATACATAAGTTATATATCATTCAAAAATAAAGTATGGCCCTGGCTGGTGTGGCCCATACACTGAGAGGTCATGGATTCCATTGCTGGTCAAGGCATATGCCTACTAGTGTGATCCCCAGTAGGGGGTGTATAGGAGGAAGTCCATCAATGATTCTCTCTCATCAATGTTTCTCTCTCTCTCTCTCTCTCTCTCTCTCCTTCCACTTTTTCTCTTTCGCACAATCAATAAAAACATATTTTAAATAAATAAAATAATGTATGCTCCAACACTAGCAAGTTGTGTGACTCTGGGCAAGTTACTTTTCTTACTTATTTGTAACACCATTGGTTGTCATGAGGATTAAATAAAATGATGTGTAAAACACTTAACATGAGCTTGGCCAATAGCAAACACCCAGTAAATGCTTTTACAAATAAAAATATACATAAATATGTATTTTTAGTATATAACAAAATAGCAACAAAAATAATAATTTAAAAAAAGGAAGAATGGTCTTCTCAAGTCAGAAGTAAATCATGTATCATCATCATCATTATTACTACCACTACTACTACTACTACTACTAGAGGCCCAGTGCATGAATTCGTGCATGGGTGGGGTCCTTTGGTCTGGCCAGCCCGGCCGGCCCCACCCCCAGTCAGGGCTGATCTGGGCCAGGTAGGCTGGGGGGAGGGACCACGGGAAGTTGGCTGGCCAGTCCCCCTAATCAGGGCAGATCAAGGGGGCCGGCCGGCCAGGGGGAGGGACTGTGGGAGGTTGGCCAGCTGCGGGAGGTTGGCCAGCCACAGGAGGTTGGCTGTGGGATCACACTGACCACCAGGGGCAGCTCCTGCATTGAGCTTCTGCCTCCTGGTGGTCAGTGAGCATCATAGTGACCAGTCGACTGGTCATTCTAGTCGTTTGGTCATAATGGTTGCTTAGGCTTTTATATATATAGATTATTGTTAGTATGGTGTTACAGTAACAATAGCTAACATTTGTTGAGCTTATACCATGTTTCAGGATAATTCTAAGGGGATTCTAATTCTAAGGGGATCCCCATGCTAATTTTAAGGGGATCCAGAAATCTGGATGTTTAATTTTTTAGATGATTCTACCACAGGTAGATGCTGGATTGCATTTGGAGAAACAGAATTCTAGCAGCACTGTCCCATATGATACAAGTGTTTAAAATGTCATTTATATTATTATTCAAGTATGGCAAAGCCAAAATCAGGAAGTAATTGCCATTGAACATATAATTTGTTATACTCATGGATCCCAAGAGGAGAGGCACACCATTCCATGGAGTGGGGTGGGCAAAGGGGAAAGTACCAAGGTCAGTCAGTCAGGAGGAGGCAGGTACGAGGGTGGGGACAAGTGGACAAGAGCCTTCATTGCGTTTTCCACAGGAAGGAATGAGTGAGGTAAAAATTGGCTGGCATAAATAATGTCAGCAGGCTCTGGGGCATCGGATCTGTCCCTAGTGGGCTGACACCTGGCCCTGGGATTGTTAGAGCAGGTGGATAGTGACCTGGATCGTAGGAACCCACTAAAGCGGGGGAGCTGGGGCTATGAGCTCTACATTGGTTGCTTTGCATATGGAAGGTGTTCATAGGCAAGTCCTTCACTATCTCTAGAAATTGGCTAGTCCTGGAAGAGGCAGTCCCTTCAGAGCCGGCAAGGCTCCAAATGTTAAAGCATCAAATACAGAAACTAGAAAAGGTGGTTATTAAAGCAAGCCGCAGATGTAATTTTCCATTTGCTAGTAGACATTTTTTAAAGAGTAAGAAATGTATAAAAATATATTTATAAATGAATTCTAGTGAAAATCTTAAATATAACAATTTCAGCATGTAATTGATATAACATTATTGAGAAGTATAATGTTTTTAATACCTTTTAATACTAAATCTTTAAAACCAGCATGGATTTCATACTTTAAGTGTGTATCAATTTTAGCTAGCACATTTCAAGTGCTCAATAGCCATATGTGGCTAGTGGCTGCTCTGTTGGACCTGCAAAACTAGACAGCCATCGAGAAATTCACTGAGGCTGATGAAGACTTACTAAGAGAAACCTCTGAGCATCTGTTTGGTGGTGGCAGCCATGTGGCTCATTAAAGTAAGCTCTGTCCTCTCACCCCCGACCCCGCCTCAGCATATTACCAACACTGCTCTTGCCTTTTGCTTGCCCACCCCTCCTGTGCTCCCCCTCATTACCATGTCCCCATCATTGCTGTCCTCTCCTCATTCTCTGTCTCTCTCTGTTAGTGGTCACTCCTGCACCATGTCCCCATCATTGCTGTCCTCTCCTCATTCTCTTTCTCTGTTAGTGGTCACTCCTGGGTTAGACAAAGGAAAGATGCTACTATGGCTTTGCACAGGTTACTAACATAGAAATCGCTGCTCCTGGGGAAGAAACTAAGAGTGACCTTGATGCAGAGGGGAATGGCAGGAGAACTTCCTGAACAGGCTCAGGGTCCACCCCCCAACCACCACCACCACCACCAAAAAAAAAAGATAATCATGGGCTCTATATTAACTGCGATAAGCACAAACAATAGTTACCCAACAATAAAACTTCTTGGTGGTTTGGATATAAAGATATAAAATGTATTTTGTGTTTCTCTTGTTATTGCAATCAGTATGTCAGCTAAAGAACACAATAGAAAAACTAAAAATAACAGTGGATATTATATGAAAGGGCAAACATTTTAAAAAGCAAGCAAACAAGTAGCTTTCTAGTCATAAAAATAACTTCAGAGCATGTCTCCTTTTTTATTTTGGTGAGGTACTTTTGCATCTGATTATTTGGAAGTGTTACCAGCTCTCTCAATGACATTTAATACCATTCCAGCAACCTGAATGACAAAATCAGCAAGATCCATGCAGCTCTTCCCAACCTAACACCAAGTGGCAAGCTAAGTTCCCTCGTCAGTGTTCCCTTGGTTCCAAGCTCACTCATCCTTGATCTCTATTTGTAAGGTGTTAATCTGGCCCCCAGGAAAGTGAGAAACCTGTAGCTCTGTCCTGAGCCAGACCCTGTGAATGTATCTCAGGCAAAATAACCTACAGAGCTCACCAACGCCCTGCGACCCGATAGATGCCCCTTTCTTCGCCGAATTTCCCATAAATAGTGGTTGACTACTGAACCACACAGAAAATGTCAGCTCATCTCTGGACATTTGCCAGGACTAAGAATTTAGGTCTACTTTAACATCCTCTGGAAGTTTCCTAAAAGATTAATAAAAATATGACTCTGTATGGCAACGAACACTGCAACGTTGGCTAGCATGTTCAAACAAATTCTTGTTTACATTGTTATTTTCAGTTAAGGTACTCCTTGCAATGCCTCTGGTGAAATTCCCTGACCAGATAGAATGAACTTGAACTTTAAATGGTCCTGAAAAATAAGCATTGCCTTTTTCGCATCAAGCATTACTTAAAACACATGTGGGTTGTAGGACACTGCGAAACAACAGCTATGGCTTCGTTTTCACAGTTTCTCAAGTAACCATAGAAGAACAGGAGGCTTCAAAAGATTTCTCAGAAATGCTCCACAGCCATGATTTCAAGTGAAATCACTAGTTTGTCTCCAAAACTCTAGTTTGCCCTGGTGGAATGTCTGTCTGATAAAAGGCCACAACCCAGTACAAGGTAATCATTAGGGAGACATTATTATTATTTTGCTAATTAGTCAAAAATCATTGGATTTCCCGTGGCTTCTTCCTGCTGAGCAATCATTTGATCTTGCTTATGTTGACAAACACACACGTCACCAATGCTGCCTCATTTACTGCCTGACAGGGACAGTGTTTGCTCCTTCATGTGTGAAGAAAGGGAAACTGGCTGTAAGCAAACAGACAAGAGGAACCGGGCAATAACTCAAACTCATGTTCTGGCTTAAAAATAAATAAATAAACAAACGCAAAATA